AAACGAGAGCCAACATGGAACCTGGTTAGCCAAGGAAACGGGCCAATTCAGCACGCCCTCGTTAGTGCTTTTGCCAGTAGGACACCCGTGGAGTTCACAGAAGAAACAAATGTCACCTCTGAGGGAAGGAGGGTGCCTAAGTGCCCAAGATGGAGCAGCAGGCATTGTATCAGTGGTGAGCAAGCTGCCGGGGAGATCTGACATGCTCTTGGCTTTCTAAAACAGACTGCCAACTCCTGTGGCTACCGGGCTATCCCTCATTTCTGTAGTACTCTAAGCATGGTAGTGGATGTCAAACAAGTTACCAGTGAGAACGCAATAGTAATTAACATGAAGAAGGCAACATGACAAGTCACACGACACTGATGAGTCATATTGTCAGTCTCAAATACAGCAATGTGACCAACACTGAGTCACAGAATGTAAAACTGTCATAAAAGATCTGAATTATACAGACAAGTATGCAACAAAACAGCATAAAGACATCCCACCTCAGGGATACAGGGCCACTTTTATTTTTCTTGTAATCTTTGTCATCAGAATGTCCCATGACAAATGACTGTTTAAAATTGAGCTGCATTAAGTAGCTAATATTAGCAAAGTTCTATTAGACATAGACTAAAATACTGTTTCCCTTCACCCGAAGGGATTCTGGTGATGTAACACAAACAATTTAATTTGATGTGATGCACTACTGAACTGTGGCAGCCTTACATGCTAGCTAACATCACCTTATTAGATGTTGCAGACCATTGATAATGAAACTATCCCAAAGTCAGTTAATTGCAGATAAGAGTCCATCTCTTTTGTGTATTTTTGAAAAAGTTATTTCTAAGATAGTCCATCAGAAGCACATCATGGTGGCAGATGCAACCCTCCCAACACAGCAAGTTTGCATTGTAGTTTAACAGTTAACCATGAACATCCCACTTACGTGCAGTCACGTCCCATCCCGTATCACGAGCATGGCTACAAAGCCTTGGGATATGGGGAGAAGGCAAGGCTTGTGGGGTCTCCCAACTGCAGCATTTCACATGACATTGATGACTGAACACGGGTCTTCATTAAGCGTTGTCTGACTAGAAGACTAGAGTTTATTTATTCAACCTCAAGATAAGCAACTTAATGCTGCTGATTTGAATGCAAACAAGGGCAAGACCTCATGCATGGAAGACTCTCTGATGTGGTTACACTGGAAGTTTAGACTAAACACAAGTTGAGATCTGAAACACAGTTGTCAAGGCCTACAAAATCAGGATGTTTTCTTAAAATATTTAAATTTTTGGAAGTGTTTTCTACAACTAAACTGTCAAAGTGGTACTGCTTTTATCTGCAAGTTGTTGCACATGCATATATTGCTTATTAAGGACTATTTTGCTAATCCCTCTCATGACAGAAACAGTATTTGCATCTCCATTCAGTGTTCATATAAGGAGTTATTATTGACCTCAAATGACTACCTAAATGCAATTAAGCCTTTCTTCTTTCTCACAGGACATAATATTATCTAGTCTGCTTTAATAGAGCTGTTAGGCTACTCTCAAATCAATATGGGGTCTCAAATGCTTGTGATGTGTTCAGGATCCAATCCTTGCGTGCTTTGTTTGTCCTTACACAGTTATTTCACATCTTAAAGTTTGGGGAATTCTAAAAACTGAACTGTGCAAAGCAAAGCCTCAGCCTAAACCACCAAGCCTTACTTACTAAACCCACTCTAACCTATTTTTAAAATTATGGTACTACTATTTCAAAACTGATCAGGGACTTCAGAACAAAGACTTTCCCTGGTGACACTTCTGTGCGGTAAACACACAGGCAAGGGGCTCAATCTAAAACAAGAAAAGCAATATTCCCTCTCTCCATATGAATGTTAATCATTGCCTAAGCCTTCCAACTCAACCTGTAGACTACAGCAAGAGGTTTACAAGTCAGCTATGTGTGAAACTCCCATAGTTCCGACCAGAAAATGACCCTCACTAATGGAACCGTGCAGCAGAAGGACTTAGATTTTGTATCAACTTACTTTTGCATTCAGAATCCATATTATCTATTTGCTCTACATTTGCATAATATGCAGAACAACGGCACTCTGGTTCGGCAAATGCAAACAATAATTAATAACAAAATAACAGAAAGTAGGGAGGGGAGAAGGAGGCGTTTATATTTAGGGTTGATTTTACACGGCATTGCCACATACTCCTGTGGTGCTATCACTGCAAACCTCTATTAAATGTGCTGCAATTCCAGTGTTTGAGCACTAGAGGGTCAATTTGTGATGAAAATGGAGCCTTACCTCAGTTTCCTTATTTTTACAGGTAAGCAATTTAACCTCATATCACCTATTCAGCTGTCATGAGAAGTTCTGCTTCAGCTGGAGCTTTCTGATGCCATGCAGGACTGGGATGGACAAGTTGATACACAAATGCAAACTTTTTTTTTTGCAAAAGTACTATCAATAATTGTAAGGTACCCATGTCACACCAAAAGCATGACAGATTTCCCTGTTCGGCTGCTGAGTGCACACATTTCAAAAGGATCATCAGGTTGGTTTGGAAATTGTCTCTTGTGACTGGGAAGGACAAAAGACTGATGAGGTATTAGCCTGTAGCCCATTTTCAAAAATACTCATCCTATGCATTTACAGAAGCCTCTTTCCATACCTTTGAATACAAAAAATGCAACTACCATCCATTTGAATGAAAGAAATCCTCAGCACCACCTGTAATTGCACTTGTGCCCAACAAGAATTACTGAGATGGCAACAGAAAGGTGGGCACCATCCACGGGGCAGAATTTAGGCCCTGCTGACTGCAGCCTTTCCATTCAGTTGGCAGGGAGGAAGGAAGAAGCAACATTATAAAAAATACATGCATGGACTAGAAATTTGGGGCATTACAAAATGAACTAACCAGAAATCCTTCCTCTTCCCAATAGGATTTGTTATGGAAACAGCATATAATTTCATTCCAATACCACAAATTTGCCACTACATTAAAGAGCATTAGTGTTACTGAAGGATGAACAGTAAATCAGCATCCCCAGTTCTCCAGGCTACAGCTCTCTTCGGTGGAATGGATAGAGTAACTTGGTAATTCCCACTGCCTCCTCATTTCAGGCTATGAATATATCCTGTGAGGGACAGTAAAGTTGTTGACTAAGGAATGCCTTAACAAGGACTTCTAAACCAAGAAACTTTGCTATACTACAGTTTTTGTTCTTACATTATCCATCTCATCAGGGACGAGGAGAACTGGGCAACACTGCTGCTTTTTAGACAGTGATACTGTCTCAGGAAAACAAGGTACATCAGTTATACAGATGGTGTTGTAAAAAATCCTATCTAAATTCCCCAGAGCAGTGGATAGATTTGGTTTTAGAGAGAGGTAAAGCATTAGAGATCACTGCAACATGCCCATGCAAAGGACACCTCTGTACCATATTAGTAAAAAGTCTAAAATAATGTGTTGAAAAAGAGAAGCGTAAGAAAGTAGGGAAGTCTCACAGATGGCACCACTGCATTCAGTAATGACTGTGAGCTTTGCAAATTACAGCATTGTGAAAGTTCATAAAAATTAGCAAACAAAAAGCAAGGCTTTGCTGTTATATGAGTCGAGCCATTTAAACGATTATACTGTGCTCTCTAGTGTATTTATCAAAATAACCAAAACTTAGCACTGAATTCAGCTCTACAATATACGGAAAAATTCCTGAGCTTTGAAGAGGGACCATATTTGTTGCAAACCATGAACTGCAAATATTAGCAACATTTTACTTCATAAATAAACTATAATTCCATTACTGATCTTTCAAAAGTATTTTTTTTTAAATTGGTCCTCCCATCCCTACCACAAATGCAAAGTCTCTATTACAATTTAATGTGTCCTCCCATGCATAAAGAAATCACATACATTCAGCTGCAAGAAGACAGATCAGTCAGAATGGCTTAAATGTAATTATACATTGACCAAAAAGAATTCCATTGCAAATGAAACTGAATGGCTTGTAGTTCAGGTTATTAGCTGCATGCTGACCAGTACAATTTTAAATGCTAAAATATTGAAGAAGGAAAAAGAAAAAAAGAACTTGTGAAAAATGTGGAAAACAGGGAAAGCAGGAACTACGTTTATATAAAACAAATTAAAAAATAATGAAAAAAATTCCATCCTCTTGTCTCACGTCATTGGAGCAGATTTTTTTTTTTAAGCTTCCCTTACTTCTCTACAGCTGTTTATGCATCACAATTTGAAAAAAGTAAACGTGCCAAAAGTCATTTACATCTTTCTCTAGCTCTACAGATTGAAATGCTGTATCATCTTGTAACACTTGAAATCAGAAATCAAGTGTCATAATTAGCCAGTCTTTCCTCAGAAAAACCATGCTTCCAGAATGGCACTTGGAACAATGAGTATTAAAAAAAAAAAAAAAGCATTGCACTGAAACATTTAAGAATGTGTTTAGTTTTCACAAAGCTGAAATCCTTCCATGAACATATCATTTAACTCTGGATTTACCAAACAGTTCAAATTCAGGAAAACAAAACTATTTTACTCATTAAAATATTCTGACAATATTGCAACATAATCTGAGTGTCATTTTTGAGCAGTGAGAAAATCTTTTTTTTATTATTTTAGCAGCAAAGGGAGAAGAAAGGCTAAGTTTAGCGGACCCTTTTCTTTAACAACAACAAGAAAAAAAACAACTGGTGAGCTTCTTTCTTCTCCGGCCATATAGCAGATCTCTTCTTGGATTTCACACCACCAACCATACCCTGTCAGAGATCTTGAACAGTTTACATTACTTCTTTTGAAGGATTAATCTAGACCAGCCCAGAGATAAAAACCAAAATGCACAATGAATTCCTACACTGAATTCCAGCTTGTTACTGTGAACTCAACATAAGAAAAGAAAAAAGGAATCCCACACATCTTGTAGTATACACACTGCTTTCACACAGCATTTGAGTTAGTCAGAGGAATACGTAAAAGGACAAGATAGTTTTGTACAAAACCTCAATTTATTTCAGAGAAATTAAAAATATGGTATTTAATATATATAAATTTCTATTCCTCTATAAATATAGATGATCTTGTGATAATGAACAGAAATAAATGCATACCAAATTCAAATAATTTTGCATTTCAGGGTATGGTAGCCATAGATAATGTTTATGAACCTAAATACAGGCATTTGTAATATAAAAAGTTTAAAACAATACAATCAGGAGAGAAGCATTCTGCTGGTTTTCATACAGAGGACTAAATATTCAAATGCATCTGTTGAAAGTTACATTTCATTTTTAACCTTTTTTTTTCTTTTGTAACAAGAAGTACAATCCCACACACCCAGGAGAATACAAGGCATTAGACATACTGCACACATGATACCAAATCTTTGTAGTATGTGATGTTATTACTGAACTCAAAAAAAAAAAAAAAAAAAAAAAAAAAAAAGACAGCAGAGGCTCTTTAAGGACTAACATCCCACCAGAGTGCTTAGACATTCTGGTTTTCTGTTTTCCCTTCCTTTGTTTTTACTACTGAAAAAAATCATCACACCCTCATAATGTGTAATGAATTAAATGTCAATGAATTAAAATTCAGGAGAATGGCAATGGCTCAAATGCTTCCAAAACGAAGAGCCAGCTTATGGATTTAATTAAAAAAAAAAAAAAAAAAATCTGAATGCTGCATTTTATTCTGATGAAGCTCTCTTTACTGAGCTCATATTTCCTGATCCTGTTTGCACTGAACCCTCTGCTAACCTCAGTAAACACCAGCAGGGCAGCAAGGCGTTCCAGGTAGTTCTCCCTCAACATTTTCGTTACCAGAAGAATGTGAACATGCACAAGCTGACCCGTGATGACAGCAGGAGCTGCAACTGACTCCCGGGTTCAGATTCACAGTTAGGCTCTATCTGTTTCCTCCAAGAACTATGCACCTTGTGACAGACAAGACCAATAATCTCATTTCTACAGGAGAACCCAGAGCGGACACCTCTCAGTTTGATGACTGGAAAATTCATTAGGTGGGTTTAAAAAAATTAAATAAAAATTATTTTTTTTTAAAAAAAGGAAGTTTGGTATATCTACGTCCCCGTTCACCTCTGAAGCCATCCAACATGCTACAGGTGCAGACGGTATTCGACCTCAACTCCTGGCCAAAGCCAAACAAAACCTGCCAACTCTTTTTCAACTATGTGGTGCATTTAAATAAATTTAAAAAAAAACGAGAAAGGGCAGCCAGCAGCCAGCCCCCCTTGTACAGGGCACCGCGGCGATGCTCTCCCTCCGGAAAAAGGCCGGACACACCTTCGAGCAGGGCAGGCCATTGTTTTTCCCCCCTCCAAAAGAAGGGCCTGACTCAGGCGCGCAGGGCTTGGCTTTACTGGGGCCGGCCGAGGCATGGCGAAGCGCGGTCCCACAGCGTGGCCATGTCCCCACGGCGTGGCCGGGTGACTGTCCTGGCTGCCCTGTCCCCACCGTGGGGCAGGGAGGCCGTCAGGAAGCGGTGCTCCTCCCCAACCCCACCTCCACCTCCACATACCTCTGGCAGGCTGGGAGCAGCACCCAGCCCGTGTCGGGAGGCGCCCTAGGCAGTCACAGCCGCCTCAGTCCAGGCCCTGCTGTTCATGCAACTGAAACTCCAAGCAAAGCCATTACAAAACCTGTGGGGGGGAGAAGAAAGGGGGTTGTTTTGGTTTCTTTTGCCGGTAATTTTTTCCCCATCCTGCCCTACAAAATAAAAATCCAATGCCTTTTTTATTTATTTTTTTTCTCTCTTTAAAAAAAGGGGAGGGCGAGGAAGCAAAATCTGCAAACGGGTTAAAAATGTCCTAAATAATTAAAAAAGTGAGACTTTTTGTAATTTAAATACAAATATACTTACAAAATCTTACAGAGGCTATTTACATCCCTCTCCCCCAACCTTACAGTACGTTCAGTTCCTACAGGAGACAGCGAGAGAGAGGAGAGAGAGAGGGAGAAAAAAAAAAAAAAAACAAGTCTGTCCCAAGCGCAGGAGTTTCCCACCTGACTTTTTCCTCTGCTCCCCGTCGCCTGCAGGACGACAAGCAGTCCGCAAAGTTTGAAGTTTGCTGGGGCTGGATAAGCGTGAGCATGCGGCCGGTACCGGGGCACGGCAGACGCTCTGCGGGCTGAGCCCAGGTCCTCCGCCCGCCCGGCCCCCCGGCCGGGGGTCTCAGACGGTGGTCTCGCCCTGCTTGCTGTTGGTGAGCCTGGTGTAGAACTTCCTCCAGGAGTTCAGCGTTTTCCCCGACCAGATCCAGAAGCCCGAGGTGATGCCCACGATTAAGGTCATGAGATACTTGATCATGAAGACGGTGAAGTCAGGGCTCATGGGTGGGTGATGGCTGCTGTGGTTATTAGGACAGGGGATGGCATAGCTCTTACAGCTCTGCGTGACCCAGCTCCTTTCCCACTGTTCCCTAAAAGCTTGCTCGTAAAAATAGCAGGCAATGACGATGGTGGCCGGCACCGTGTAGAGGACGCTGAAGATGCCTATCCTCACCATGAGCTTCTCCAGCTTTTCTGTCTTGGTGCCATCGTGCTTCATGATGGTCCGGATCCTGAAGAGGGACACAAAGCCGGCCAGCAGGAAGGAGGTGCCGATGAACAGGTAGACAAATAGGGGGGCCAGCACGAAGCCCCGCAGCGCGTCCACGTTGTTGATGCCCACAAAGCAGACGCCGCTGAGGACATCCCCGTCTACCTGCCCCAGGGCCAGGATAGTGATGGTCTTGATGGCTGGCACTGCCCAGGCGGCCAGGTGGAAGTACTGGGAGTTGGCCTCGATGGCCTCGTGGCCCCACTTCATGCCGGCGGCCAGGAACCAGGTGAGGGAGAGGATGACCCACCAGATGGAGCTGGCCATGCCGAAGAAGTAGAGCATCATGAAGAGGATGGTGCAGCCCTCCCGCTTCGTGCCCTGCGCCACGGTCCGGGAGCCATCCTCAGCGAAGCGCTCGTTGCAGACCACCCTCTCCTCCAGCAGGAAGCCGGCGATGTAGGCCACGGCCACAGGCCGTGTAGCAGCCCGAGAGGAAGATGATGGGCCGCTCGGGGTAGCTGAACCGCTTCATGTCCACCAGGTAGGTGAGCACGGTGAAGAGCGTGGAGGCGCAGCAGAGCACGGACCAGATGCCGATCCAGGTGCGGGAGAAGCGCAGCTCCTCGGGCCCGAAGTACATGAGCCCGTAGAGGCGGCCGGGCTCGCAGGGCGCCCCGCAGTCCTTCTCGCCCAGGAAGCGGTAGTTCAGGTAGGAGGGCACCTTCAGCGCCCGCGGGCAGGAGAAGCGCCCGCGGGGCTCGCCGGACCCCGAGCCCCCAGCCCCGCCGCCGGCGCCCCCACGCTGGGGGTTGCTGGTCCAGCTCTCGGGGTGCAAGGCGGGCGTGGGGGTGCCTCGCTCGGAGGCGTTCTGCCCCACGCACAGCTCGCCGGCCCCGTGCACCGGGAACTTCTCGCAGCGCAGCGTGTCGGGCCACTGGAAGCCGAACTTGTTCATGAGGGCCTCGCAGCCCTGGCGGGCGCGCTCGCAGAGGGAGCGGCAGGGCGGCAGGGCCTGCTCCAGCACGGTGCAGACGGGCGCGTACATGGAGCAGAGGAAGAACTTGAGCTCGGCCGAGCACTGCACCTTGACCAGCGGGTAGAACTGGTGCACCTCCAGCCCCGCGTCCTCCTGGTTGGTGTGGCCCAGCAGGTTGGGCATGATGGTCTGGTTGTAGGCGATGTCGGTGCACAGCGGGATGGAGATGGGCTGGCAGTACCCGTGGTCCGGGATGGAGATGCCCCGCTCGCCGTTGTACTGCGGCGCGGGCGGCTGCCCCCCGGCCGGCAGCGCCGCCGCCCACAGCAGCAGCAGCGGCAGCGGCAGCGGCACCGGCAGCAGCCACCGGCACCGCCACCGGCCCCGCCACCGCCACCGGCCGCCGCCAACTTCGCCGCCGGCCGCCGGCCCGCGCCGCTCGGCCATGCTCAGTCGCTGCCGGGCTCCCTCCGCCGCCGCCGCCGCGCCGCTCCTCCGGGCCCCGAGCTGCGGCTCATGAAGGGAGCGGCGGGCAGGGACGGGGCAGCCCCGGCCGCCACTCGCTCTGCTGCTGCTGCTCCTGTTGCCGCTGCTGCTGCTGCCGCCCGCCCCGGCAGGCAGCGCCCGCCGCCCTCCCTCGCTCCCTCCCTCCGTGCCTCCCTCCCGCCGCCACCGCCTCCTAGCGCCGCCGCCGCCGCCGCCGCCCGTCCATTTGTGCCGGCCCCCCGAGCCCGCGCGCCCTCCGACCGGTTTCCAGGCGCCCCGCAGTCTGCCTGCCCCGCCGGGGAGGGGCCTTGAAACCGACGCCGAAGTTTCCTGCGCAAGGGACCGGCTCCAGCGCCGCGCCCGGGGGCGGGCGCAAGGCGGCCGCGGGGCTGCCCCGAGCCGCGCACAAAGGCGGCGGGGCGGGACGGGGCGGGACGGGGCCCAGGGGGGGCCGGGCCGCTTTGAGCCCCCGCAGGGGGGGGGGGAGACGAGCTCGGAGGGGCTGGGGGAGGATCGGGGGGGGGGGGGGTCCCGGGGAGCGCGGGCGGGCGGCACAAAGGGCGGGCGAAGCCCCTCACAAAGCGGCCGCCGCGCGCTCCCCTCAGCGCGCCCCCCGCCGCGGAGCCGCAGGGAGGGGAGAGGGGACGGGGACGGGGATGGGGATGGGGAGGGAGAGCGGGGGCAAGTTGTGGCCGGAGGCCGGGTATCGCCCCCCGGGACGGCCGCCCTGCTGCTCCCGGCCCGGCCGGTGATCCCGAAGGGGCAGGGGAGGGGAGGCAGGAGCGGGGAGCAGGGACGGGGTCGGTGCGGGGCTCGCACCGAGGGGATGCGGTGGTTACAGCAACTTGGGCCGTGTGAGAGCGGAGCCGCCTCAGAAACACGCAGCTGGTGGTGTGAGGCGGCCAAAACCCACCTCCCTCCCTCCCTCCAGAGACATCTTACGGATCGCGCTGCTCAGTTGTTGTCAGTATTTCACCTACGTGTCCCTCCCACAGCCTCTACATCTCTAGCCTAAAACACAAAATTACCACGAAAATAGGGCTGCCCGGCCCCTCTTCCCCCATCTGCCCAACGCGCAGCTTTTTGAGCTTAATTTAAGGTGAATGCTGCGTGACTTGAAGTACCTCCCGGCAGGTTTTTTAAAGTGCTCGCTGTGTCCTGAGAAAGGGGGGTCCTGCCAAGTGAATGGGCACACAGTAATTGCCAACAATGGCCAGTTCTTTCGGCGTGTCGAAGGCGCGTCCGCTGGTGCAGAATGGCCGTTCTGTTGGTTCTCCCAAAGTGCACAGCCTGGAAAAATGGTGGAGGCTGAGCAGGGGGTTTACTGGGCTCAGCTGGAATTCAAGAAGAATAATAAACTGTGCTCCTGGAGGTGAGGAGGATCCTCGCACGTTTTCTAAACACGCAGTAACCCAGCCTCTGTGTCATGGACGTGAATGTCCTCGTGTTTATCTGACTCTTAATGCTGCCTTTCAGAGCAGAACCAGGCATGAAACTTCCTTGGCCAGCTGTCTTGGTTCTCTGCGGCATGCTAGGAGCCTCTTCACTTTATGGGCTAATGGGCTGCAAAAATCCATTAGGAACAAGACAAGCCTAGCGTGTACTTCTAGCTGTCACAGGTGGCAAGGGTTAATAAAAGACATCCGTATTTCTTGGATAGCTGCAGATAAAATTTGGGCCTGCTATTTAGGCCACTTTCTTTCTCCCAGCAGTGCTGTCCCACATTCAAACTAATTAAGAGCAAGATCTGTGCTGTATAACGACTGCCTGCCGGAGCAGGATCATGTTTAGGAATTGCCCAGCCTTAAATATGTTGATTGCTGATGTCCTCATTTACTGAGGTTCATTGAGTTCTGTCAAGAGCTCTCTTCTCCGAGGACTGTAGTTCAAAAGTGATGAGTACAAATGCTGTCTTTTTCCATCTCCTGCTGAAAAAGGTTTGATTCCTCATGTAACATATTTACTGTTTTAATCTAGAGATTTTCCTCCTCACGTCTGCCTCAGTAATTAAAATTACCAACGCCTTCCTAGCACAAAACCTAATTTATATTCAGCCCTAAATGATAGTATTGTTTTCCTATTCATTCTAAAATAATTGAACACTGAATCTTTGGAAAGGAGCAGATATTATGCACACTCTTTCACAGAGAATATAAGCGTGAATTTCTAACCAGTGTCAGGAAGACTCTGTGGATTTCCACATGTGGTTTCCACACCTGGGGATGCATCACAGAATCCAGGAAAGGCAGTTAAGACATGCAAGTCCATCCTCAGTTGGCTTAAATTCTCTCTACAGGGGTCTGCATTTGAAATATTTATGAAATGCTCGGTTCTCAAACACAGGGAAAAAATACACTGAAAAGTCACTAAGTTAGTGTGTGCAACAAGCCAGAAGTGTATTCCAGTAATAGGATCAGTGCAGACGGGACAAGATTTGTATGGAAGGGAAAATAGACAAATTTGGGGGTTTATAAACCATTTTTGCAGTTTTGAAGAAGTAGCTACAACACTAAATACAACTTGGGAACAACTGCTTAGAGCTCAGATATATATATATCAGGGAGACCAGCTTAGACAGGAGAAGTAGAAGCTGGAACAGATGGGATGTGAGAGGGGGAAGAACACGGACTGAGAGCTGTTAAGTTCCTAGGACTTGATGGTTTTAACTGTTTAATGATTTTTCACCTAACAGAAGGTTTCCTGTGTGGAAAGAATCTTCCCAGAAGCACTTGTCCTACATTTCAAGCACCCCAAACCACAAAACTCATCATTAGGAACATTATTCTCTGCGGCCCAAAACAGCAGGTCCATTTAAACCCTGCCTGAGCAAGAAACAGAAAACGTGTTGATGCCTACCTGCTACTACTGCAACAAATACCCCCTGCCACCAACCCATCAGCATCCTCCGATATTCCCTTTGTAGTTCCAGGAATGTAATGTACTTTGTCCTGTGCATCACCATGCTGTTAGTGAGTGAAAGTTTCCCACAAAACAAAAACATTCTGCTCCTGCTTCCATCACCCACTTCTCTCTCTCAAACAACAGGCCATCAGGTATTTGTCTCTCCTTTTTGCTTAGCTTGTAAGTGCCATTCTTCCTCCCACCCACCTGTATGACTAATAGCCTCTCTATTCTGCAGATACCACCTTCTTCCTTTCCAAGCTGGCTTAATACCTTTAGGAAATCTTACTTGAAATTAATAAATCTTAAGCAATCATTCTTAAGTGAAAGCTGCAGCTTGCATTTGTAACCTGAAGAAAAGCTTATAGCAAAAGCCAAGATACTGCTCCTTCTGTAGTATTACCCACTACCCCAGTCCTGCACATCACATCCACAGGAGAATATCACTGTGTATGTCTTGTTCCTGAAGTGTTCTTGAAGTAGGTATTCACCAGGAGTGACTGAGAGAGAGGAAACAGGACTGGATGCTACCTTTGCTTGGTTCAGTACAACAGTCATCATGTTTTTACGCAGGCGTATTGGGTCTTTGTTGAAGGCCAGGCACTCTTCCCCTTTGCCATGGAAATTCCATGATAAAAGAAGTGAAAACTTAGACGTTAAAGTCATACCTTAAAATGAATTTCAGCTTTTTTACTTCAAAACAAAGTCCTATTATTAATTGGAGTTGCTACTAGTGGAAATTAGGAGCTTGGCAGGAGGGAGGAGTACCAGATTTTGTCCTCAACCTTCTGTGTGACTAGGCTTCAGAACTAGGATGATAAAACACTGGAATTTTGCTTTCTGCCTATTGTAGGTGCTTATGGTCTCCATCTTGCATTGGTTCTACCCCACTTGCATCGTCACTGTGCTGCTGTCAGCAGGGTGCTTTTTGTGCTTTTTTACTTGTTATGAGGAGGGGAATGAAAACATAAATATTTGGGGAAAAACAAAAAGAACCATGAAGCTGTCAAATTATTAATTTAATTATGGGAAGAAATGAAGAAAAAAGTAGTTACACTATTTTCTTGTTTTCCTCTAAGTGATTGGCAGAAATAGGATAGAGTAAAAGTTTCCACAGCATTTAAAGAAAACTTATGTTTCTAGAGGAAATTGTTCAGCTTTATATCACAGACCTATGCTGCATACAGCCAGAAATGCAATACAACCACAAACTGAATATGTGGTAAGGTTAGTGGCCACCCAAATGAATGAAATCTAAAGACAGATGATTACATAAATGTATGTTTGTCCACTAAATAAAAGCAAAAGATATACTCAGCTAACTACCTTTTAAGTTGATGATTTGAATTTCAAATGAGGGTTTAGAAGTCTGGTCATCCTAGTATGATGTGGCAAGTTAAATGTTGAATGATTTTTGTTTGATGCTGAGCATGAATCTTGCCTGATAAAAACAGTTAAGATTTTTTTGATTCACATTCACTGAAACCTCTCAGAGTGACCTAGGGGATTCCAAGTGAAACAGTACAGGTCCACAGTTTCAGGTACGTGTCATTACAGCATCTCTCTCCTCAGTGCTGGCAACACATATCACATCAAGCCCTCACCGTGCACAGACAAGGATGCTTGCTGGAGAATCAGTATGAACAACGTAAATGCAGTGAAATGAAGGACAGGTAATTACAGTGTCATACACCTGGAATTGTAACATAAAACAGGGTTCCTCCTTCCATTGCCATATTAAAGCTACCATATATTTCTGATGATAAAATCCTTAATCCAGGTAATACAGACTCTGTAAACTAAGTTGTGTGATCCTCAAAGTTGACACAAAGATCTACAGACCAAAATTCTGGAGAAAAATTATCTAGGCAAGACTCCCAAGCAGCTTTTACAGTTGCATAGCAAGATATATTTCACTTTGCAACATGCCAATGACATAGCCATCTTCCCCAAGGCCATGAGCCATAGCATCTCATAGATTTAGTCTTGCCAGAAGAATAAAATCCTGAAAATTTAAAAGCCTACCTTGAACATTGACTGTTTCTTGGAACATCTAGGAGGCTCTTGGAAACATGCCCGTGCTGACAGAAATAACAAACACATGCAGTGACTGGCAGAGAAAATCGGTAGGAGCTGAACACGAGCCCTAGGTGATGGTGCCGCCAGAGTACTTACTTCAGTGAAGCATCTCTTGGCTCTACAGCCAAGTGCCCAGAAAGTCTTTGCAGTGCAGAGGCAGTGGTTATTAACAGGCATTTGACAAGATATAAAGTAATTCTCTTACCAGCTGGCCCAGGTCATCTTATCCTCAGATTTCTCCCAGATGCCTCTATATGTGCCTTTTATTAATTGGCTGTGTTAGTTTGTGATTGTCAATTTAGGTTAAAATTGTACTGTGTTTGTATTTGGGGGTTGTGGAATGGGAGAAAGAGAGAGGAAATGCAGCTCTAGCACTAAAGTCGGTGGTAATTTACTCCTGCTGTGTGACACCTATTGTAACCCAAACTAGTATGGGCTAGGAATAAAGAGCAATCTCTGACTAGCACTCGTGTAAATCAGACCCCCAGTAACAGTGATTTTGTGTGCTCTAAAGAGGCACAAGGAGAAACGCTAGGCACAGTCAGAGCGGACTACAAAGAGTCTCTTCCTCCCAATACCCACAGCATTTTTTCCTTAACACTGTTTATTCAAGATAGATTGAGTATGTGGAGATTTGATTTTGTTTTCTTTTCTGTTCAGAAGAAATGTAGATGATCCCTTGCAAATTAAAGCCGCATGTTGCCTGCCTTTCCTGACATGTTCTGCGTCTGGGCGAGAGGCGCAGGGGCTGCTCTCTGCTGCTGCAAGAAGTTTTCCGGAGAACGAGACAAAGTCAGAGCTCTTAAAAGGGCAATTGCAGAGCACAGCTCGTTTTGTTCAGAGCAAATGCGAATATTTTTACTCTCTTGTCGTTTCTCTTTCTTAGGTGAATTCTCCTACAGTTGCATACAGCATCTGAGAACAGCACAGTCTCTCCCTTGTTCCTTGCACACAGAGATGCTGATTTAAGGGCCTGAGCCTGCAATCCTTACTCCCAAGAGCAGACCTGCTGCTTTCATCGACGCTGGGGTAGTGAGAAGAGCTTTAAAAGGCTGGGATGCAAGGAGGAATTACATAATCAGTTTTAACTACTTTTCCACACTGCTTTTGCCATGCTTTAAGTACCTTTCTTTTAATGAAATTACTCCCTATTTACACCGATGTGAATGAAGTTAAGACCATATTTTCTGAATTAGTATTTCAAAATACACAAATGTAAAAGGTTTGTGTGTGAGGTTGGGGGATAGAGCAGAGGAAAGATTTTCTTCTTTGTCTTTTAGGTGTGCATGCATTTTCCATGAATGTTACTGAGAGAATGAGCAGGATGAGGTCAGAGCCGGGAGTAATTCACAGCCTGCCTCTGCCTTTATCCATGGAATGTGGCTTGGTACAGACTAGAAGAGAATCTCAACTTTCAGTTTAAAAGAAATCTTTTGGGCTTTTGCTTTACTTTGGAAAGATAGCTTTAAATATTTAACCAGTGTAAACAGAGGCAAACTGCCCAGAAAGATTGAAAAGTCCGAGCAACTAGGATCTGCTTGTAAGCATTTATTCTCCCCTGAATACATTTTTCTCCATATAAGAGGAGTCAGCTGTATTTTGAAGTGAATTCTTTTCAGAAACTTTGGGCTGGTTTTGTGAAAGGAATTTTCCTCAGGATAGAGAAGAGCAGTTTTCTAGGCCTTCCCCCAGTTCTGCAGCTGGCTTTTCCAGTTAGAATTTCATCTGCTCTCTGATCCTGGCTGCACAGCCACTGCTTGACACGCCAGCACCTCCAGGAGTATTTAGGATATCACGCATGGGCCCCATATAAACCATCCTTAGCCTGATTCCGCAGTGTTCAAGGAGGAGAAAAAGAAGCACTTCAGAAAGTGAATGTTACCTAAAGGATGATGAGGTCTAACTCTCTTGTCACGGGTGGTCATTCTGTACAGCCCCCATATGCAATCACAATATACAGTCCAAACACAAAGCATTCAAGCCTCTCATCCCCCAGTGCCTCTGTCAGAACATTAAGCCATTGCACATCAATGTGCATCTGGACTCTTTCCTTCTAGATTTCATGGTAACTCTGTTTTCCATAGTGAACAACATAATTGTATATTTTTTTAGTGGATTTGGATTTGCCTGTGGAAACCCACACATTTGCTATTTGCAGGAATGATTAATGTAATTTTAGGTACTTTCATACTGCACTGCTAACATTAAGAAAACTATCACATAGTTCCCAGCATGGTAGGCTAACAGGACAAGCCACGTCATCTCAGTGCCCCAAGCGTTGTGTTCCCCTCTGGCTGAATGCAGGATCTGAATCAAGGTTTTGTTCCATACCTCAGACTCGGATCCAAGTTGCCCTCAGCTAGGGCAACTGCTGGCTGTATTAATCTCTAACATCCAGAAGATTCTGGTCTGCTTCTGCACCTCTGTATTTTCAGAGGAAAACACCTTTTTCCTACTGGTATTGTTACTGGAATACCACTTTTTCTGGGGGGTATTCCAGTAACAGCACTGCAAGGGAAAGTCCATCCTTACATACTCTACCGGGAAAGTGAGGCAGAGGAGGAATTCTTGTTTGTTCTTCAAGTCTGGACACTCATGAGGAATGATGTACATAAGAATAAGAACACTGGACAGAAAGTGGGGGAGGGAAAAGAAGGATTTTCTACCTCATGACTCATGTGTTATCCTCAATTATTTTTGCATTTATTGTTAAAATTCAAAAAGCACTTTACTGATGTGAGTCTTTCGGATATTTTCTGTTGCTCTGCCATTTTCTCTAGATAGACAAAGACATAGTATTTCTGCAAAGTCATTGATATTTTATATTTCTATTTATATGTTTTTATGATTGTATAGCTTCTTCTTGGATACATCTTGTCTTTTAAAATGTGCAGATTCTGATTAAAATATGTTAATATAATATTTGCTTCAAGGTCTGTGATAGGATGCACTGTGCCTACATGTACATCCTTCCAAATACATATGTAATTGCAGTTTACAGTTGGAAGTCGAGATCTTCCTTTTGGAGGAGAAAGACTGGCAGCAGGTTATCCTGAACTTTATCTATACCACTGCCACGACAAGCAACACGGTTTGCTAAATGGGTTTTGGAAGCACCATTTAATTTCTTCTTACACATGATGCATTGATTTGCAGTAACAGTTCCATAGGCTGCTGTGAGACCACAGCCTTGAACTCCTGTCTCTGGGATATGCCAGCCAGTATTATTTCTGCCATTAAAAACCTGTGTTCCCACATGAAGTGTGAGATAGCAGCAGATTTAAAGATGCTTCAAATCTAAGCAAGCCTAATTCTGAGACAATGCAGCACTCAGACACTCAGAATGCCGAGGAAAGGATGTTTCTTAAACCTAATTGTTTTGCCATGTCTACTTTGCCACATCTCTTTTTTTTTTTTTTTCCTTTTGAAATGCTCAGCACTAGGGACATGGAGCTTAAAGGCTTGTCTGTTTCGGAAAAAAAGTGCCAATATTAAACTAACCCCCTGTGTAGACACTCTTATTTCAGTTTAAAAGTGCCTTTCATGGAATTAGCAAGTTGATTCCTTGCTGACATAAGCTTAATCAATATGAGGCACTCAGGCTGATGCAAATTTATCTCCATGATGGGGTTGCACCAATTTCTCTAGATCTCTTTCAAAAACCATTTAGTTAAATCAGTTGTTTCTTCAAATGGACAAGTACGCACTCATTGAAGATGTGCAGTACAACATTGTTGTGGGCTAAAAAATGAATTGTTTTAGTAATATGTAAATAAATCTTTGCTTTTGTACAGTGCTGCCCATTAGAGTTCATTAAGCTGCAGATATCAATAAACTTGGAGCAGCTTCGCATCGGTGTTCTTAATCCCCGTTTTCTAAATGCAGGAACTTAAACACAGAGAAACAAAGCGTGTTTCCAAGGTCAGGGAAAAAAAGTGTATGGTAAAGCCAGAGAGAAAATGGAGGCACATAGTTTCAAAAAGAGGTCAAGGGACCTTTCAGGGACCTTATACTTAAAAGGTGCTGGTGCCCGTGCTTTCTGGTAATTGGCCCTTTAAAGTCAACTCACCAGAGCTGGACTGATATATCCCAGAATAACTAGTCTGTAATCTCTCATTTGAGTTTTGTAAATACAGGACTGACTTCTTCTTTCTGAATGATGATCCACCCTTGTAATAAAATCACCACCTCAATAAATATTTATTTCTAGTGGTATCCTCATTTAGCTATAAATATAGACACTCTAATCTCAAATTCTGAGGCAAAAAGGATATTCTACCACTTGTTATGGCTATGCCAAGTATATTTTTTCTAGAGATAAACATTTCAAATATTACTCTCTGAGCAGGGCTTTTTAGACTAGGAAGAGGAACACAATGACAGTATTTATATAGTACTATCATCCATTTCTGGAAAAATGGTCATGGTCCAAACAACCATTCCATCTGCTCTGTATTAAAGCAAGTTTATTAGTCTGAAGTCCTTGTAAGTGATGGTTCTGGTCACAAACTAAACCATCCATTAGCTCTGTTGGAAAAAAAAGATGACAAAGTCAGGTCTGATGAGCTTGAACCTGATCTCCTCAGATCAGGCCTAGGTTCAGATGAAGAGAATAATGCTATGGTACAAACGATTGAAAAGTAACTGTGCAGTACAAATTGTGCAGTACAGATGCTGTATTCAATTAATGCAATTAAAAAAGGGAAGCTTGAGACAAAAGCAGTTTAAAAATATTTGCAGATCTGTCAAGTCTTCCTGTGCCCCTGCTCCCAAAGCACCCGGACACATCGTCACCTCAAAATCTCTAACGTATTTGTTCTGAAAGATAAAAGCACTGCTCTGTCTTCATTTTGGAGAGGGAAATCTAAGGCAGAAAGAGATGAAAATGGCCTGTTCAAAGTCAGGTAGGAAGTCTGTGTTAGCAAAGGGAATTTAACCTAAAGCTAGCACACACAATTCTTTTTCCTTAGGCCTATTTTTCCTGCCCAGAAAGCTTTGGAGGGTTGTGAATCACAATTGTTTTAAAGTCCCCGATGGTCCCACATTTCATCCCACTCCCACAATCCCAACCCCTGCTGCGTGCTGCAGCACTGCCGGGCGACTTGAAGAAGCAGAGCAGTGCACTGCCCCGGATTAAGGCTTTACACTAAACCTAGTGCCCTTCCTGCTGCACCAGTTCCCTTCTCCAGCTCTGGGCTAGTGCAGGGGGCTGGTGCCAGCAGAGGGGAAGGGGAAGGCATGAGCTGGAAGCTGGGAGGGGATGGCTTCGACCAGCAAGAGCTAAAGCTTTAGTGGGTTCATGAAAGTGGGCGATCATGAAGCTGCAGTTTGGGCTGCACCTTCAGAAAGGAAATGTAGTCATTAGTTATTCTGAATTGAAAAATAAATAAGCAAATCTGGACTGACACTGAGGTGATAAATGCGGGGAGCAATCCCTCTGTTTTTTTCTTCCAGTACTGCGGATGAAAGCGGCAGGTTGAGGGGGCCCTGGGAGTGGAAAAGGAGTGGAGTCACCTTGATGCTGACTGCCCTGAAGAGAGGTAACAGGACTGGAGGCTGTCATTTATCACCTCTCCCCCGCTGTGTATGGCAGGGCTCTTTAGAATGGATTTAGTTAAAGCCACAGTCTTGGTCTGTAGCCAGGCTATCACCTATAACTCTATTCTCTCATAGTAGCATGCAAGCTTCTTAATGTATCTTCTCTTATCTTAAAAACAATCAATATGACAGATGGAAGTCCTGACTAAGCATTTTTATATTCATTTACTTGCTTTGCTGCCAGTTTCCTCACCCTACCTCCCTTGTAGGCTCTAACTAACAAATGTTGCTCTCAGCATGCTGTTGTCGATAGCCATTTAAATACCCACCAGGCTGTGTAGGCAGCACAGACATTGCTGGTTAATAGGGAGGGAAGCCCCAAGGACGGGGCTGTGTAGCAGACCTGCCATCTCCACTGATCCAGGTAGCAGAGCACTGCTTTTAAAGTGGCTGTGCCCCTCTGTTGCTGTGATGGGATAGCTGCTAGACACTGACGCATGCTGGACTGCACATCTTGGCTCAATTTGCATGCCAGATCAGATGTGATACACCTAAGATCAAGCCAAGATCAAGCAGTGTAAGAGAAGGCCCAAACAAACAAACAAACAAACAAAACAAACAAAAAAAATTGATCAGCGCTGATGATCACCAACATGACAACCCTTCCGTAGGCTGAGATTGTTGTCATCCTCGGAATTCAAAGCTGAAATGGATTTTGAAATGTTCTCTGTAGCTGTGCAATAAGAAACTTTTAGAAATGAAATTGCTCAATTAAAATAAAGGCTGAAAAAAAAAATCCACAGCATTTTAATGTTGCTGGTTATTATTTTTGTTACCTTTATTTCTCTATTGGGTGATTTCTTAACTGAAGTCAGTCTGAGAAGACTTCACTAGTATTTGATGTGGAAATTTCATAGTTATGTAGCCTTTAGTGTGTACCCAAATATTTCACCTCCTCTTCGTTTGTCCAGTACATGGGAAGTGGTACTGTGGATACTACTGACGGCACATGAAAGCGAGTTTTCCTTCAGTATTTTTGTTGCCTTTAAAGGACTCATCTCCTGCTTTTTTATACGTCCCTTGGGCTCAAGAGCCCAAGAGAATTGGTTGATCTTTTAAAAACAAGAAGACAAACTACAGGGAGGGTAATCTACTACAGAGTTTATGATGACAGTCATTTGGCTTAGGTTATAGACATGATGCCTAAAATCAGCAAATGCACTATTCTGTGGAGTACCAACCTAATCAATAAATCCTGTATGCATACACAAAGTTTTCATGATAAATTATCTCATTATTCTTACTTTTTTTCTTTAAAACTTCTGTCTCTTTTCTCAAAGCAGAGAAGAACCAAAGAACTCATAACCTTATACTTATGCTAACAGCATTTGACCCAAGAAACATAATCCGCCTTTATATTTTATCAAGATAAATTCCAGACGTAATTAATTTTCCCAGACCCAAGACTTGGCCTGTATTTCTCACAAGAAGATAACCACCCAATAAAAATAAATACAAATGTCACCCTTCCAAATGCAGAAATTGAGGGAATATCTGACACTGGTCGGAGACCCTTTTCACATTTGCAGAGACAGCCACGTCTTTCTCAGCCCTACCAATTCTGTGCAGCCAGTGTGGCTTCTGCCTCTGAACTATACATGTGTAGCCTTCTCGTGTTGCTGTAGACTAATAACAAGGGAATTGGGTGTGTATTTTAGGAGATTCCCATGCTGTAACCAGACCGACAGTGCTACACAATTATGGTTTATTTCCATGCCATGCTGGAGGATAAGATAGATCTGAGGTTGAAGGTCATAGCATTTAAAGAGTGAAGAAATTTCTCCTGTAGGTGCTTGTTTTAGAATTGGATAGAGCCTCTTTATTGAGGTTTGTTTGTCATTACAAATTTCCCAAGTAATGTTTTATTTATTTTTTTTTAGTCTGGGCGTCCATCTACTATCAGTGGATGTCTGCATCCATAGCCAGGAATATGCCCCCACTTCTGGCCTCTGATTTGAATTGCTTTTGCTCTGCCCTGGCAAGCTGCTGGGCAGGCAGAGCAGTAGGGAACAGGCAGCACCCCGGGTGATAAAATGTCCCGTTTCCATTTTGGTCTGTGGAAAATTTTAAGAGCTTTGATGTCTGAAGGCATATGCACTCCAGCAGAGCGAACTTCACATCTCATCCTCTCCCTAGCCAAGAGTAGATCTTTCCTATTATCTCACAAGCTGCCTGACAACACAACACATATAAAAACTGGAGCTATCACCATATCAGATCATGAAACAGCTTTCCTGAATGTTGTTATTAAGGCAATTCTTAATGAGATAAAAACTAGTAGTTTAATAACTCTCCTTAGAAGGATGCTCAGTGTGCCCAGAATAAGGCTCAATACAATTAATTTGACTAAACAATTCAGAAGAAATTATCATATTAATGTGAAAAAGTATACTGGAGGAATTACCACATGAATGCTCTAATTGCCTAGATTCCTAAAAACACAGAAGTGTATCAGGGCAGACACTAGAATCCCACCATTTCCACTGTTGAATGTTTTTGTAATAAAGAGTAGAATTAATCAAATATTCTTCGCTATTTAATTAAAGCAAGCCACAATTTTACAGATAATAGTCTTGATGCTGAAACAGAGAGCACAGCTCTGTTTGCATGCTCATAGCCAAGAGACTGCTAGCATTTCCTCCAGGAAGTATGCTCATGGTAGTTTATCACCTTGATGCCGAGCAGGTAACTATGCTCTCTGCAGGGCTGCTCATCCAGACATGGAGGCAGACTTTGTTCTCACATTATACGTTGCCTTCCAGTCTTGCATGAGGACCATGGGGTATGAATGGGCCTGGGCAGAAGATGGCCCAGTTCTGGCTGCTAAGCACCACAGGAGTGCTAGGAGCAAGACTGAGCTGGCCAGAGCTTCTCCCCACTTGCTTCAGAAAGCCTGTCTGTTCTACTGGTTTAGGGAAATGTGGCAGTTAGTGAGTAAAAGAAGTCAAGGAGGATTAATAGAAACATGCTTTCACCCAAACAAGGCTTCATGCCGAACCGTGGAGATCCATGGAACAGACCTGATGGCAAGGTTGGCCGGGATGCTTCACTGCACTGCCTGCTGTAAGCGAGGCTTTTACATCTGGCAATGCATATCGGTGCACATGGGATTGTTTCCAGAAGCTAAATCGTGATGTCCTGTGAAGATGGTAATTGGATCTGGGCACCATCTTCGAAGAAATCAGACCTCAAAAAATGAGCATAAATACGGATGTGTTGGCCATGCATGTGATAAGCTGTGCCTTGGTCTGATAATACTGGTCATGTATATTTGTTAAGAAAGCAAAAAATAAATTCAGAGCAGTGACTTGAAAGGTTCTGGTAGCTGTGTTGTTTGTCATATTGGTCCCACTTATCTTTGCAGAAGAAGAAAAACAAGAACAGTGGCGTAGGGAGATGTGGGATGGCTGCAGGCCTAGGCAGCACAGTGGCCGAGCTGCTGAAGGCTGTCAGGGCAAGCACCAACAAAGCAGCCAAAACCAGACATGGGGATGCACAGGAGCACAAGGAAGTAGCCGGTGAGCAGCTAGAAGCAATCCCTGTACCAGTTCTGGAGAAAGGAAGATCCTGCTGCTCCAGATAATTACATATGTTTAGCCTTAGTCACCAGTGGGAGA